GAATTTTTGGAATTCTCGGATCACTGTTTGACGATTGATACTTGTTAAAATATTGATTCAACCGTCTAATTATTTTCTTTGCTATTGAAAGTTGAAAAGTTGGTAATCGGGAAGAAATTAAAATTAATAGTATTTGCCATACAGGTAATATATTTCTTTCAAATAGCAATTTCTCAACTTTTCATAATGCAAATTTTAAAAAATACCAAAGTATTGCTCCATCCTTCTGTTTGTATCATGTAATATGATCCACGAATTTCAACAATCGAATCCGTATTCAAAAATAAATATTGCAAATTTCCAAATCCTCCCCTTCTAATCTAATCTCTCGATGCCCAAAAAATTCCCTTTTTCCTATTCCATTTACCATTTATCCCCATATCTATCACTTTTTCCCCATCCCCGATCCACGAGAACAAAGAAAATTTTCCCTTTTATCGTCGAATAAGGCCCAGCCAAGGCCCCGTCGACCCGCGACCGTCGCAAAAGCATCGGAAAAAATACGAGGCTGGTTGCGATTTGACGTGACCGCGGTGTACGCACACTCCGACACCCCGAGACGCCGTATCCACGACCACTACGAACCCCGTGGGCCCGTAGGACCGCATTCCAAGCCGGCTTCGTGGGCCCAGGCCCCGATCGGCGGGGTACGGGGCCCGCGCGAACGTTACAAAGGAGTGGGGAGGGGGGGAGAGTCGGTTGCCGCGGCGCTGGGTGGGGGAAAGGAACGAAACGGGCCGCGGAAGGGCGCGAGAGGGAGGGGGGCACGGGCCCCGGGAATAACTCGATAAAACGAAGGGACCCCTTCTAATTAAAATGAGTTCCGCCGTGGGTCCTCTCGTGTACGACTCTCGCCGCGGTCTTATTTCGTCGCGAATACCCCCACCAAGGCCCGAAACGGAACGCCGATCCTGGGCCCGTTTCCATCCCGTCTTCCTGGTCCTACGGAATTCGAATACCGGACACGTGGGAATTTTTGGTGGGGCGGTGGTTACCTGCGATCGATAATGATGGAAAGATTAGCGCGTTTCAGGTTTTCTTCTTCTCAGGGCCAGTTGGAATTTCGGAATGAACGTTTGGTTTTTTTTTTTTTTTTTTTTCGTTTTTTCTTTTTGGATTACAGGTTACAGGTTACGTAAGTTGTATAAGATTATTTGTGGGTTTGCTGTTGGGGGTGTTGAAGTTTTTTTTGAATGATGGATTTGTATTAGGATTTGTATTGTATTTTAAAAGAAATTTAATTTGTATCGTAATGCGGTATAGTTAATATTGTTTTCAGGAAATCGTTGTTCATTGTTTTAAGATGGATGTAGTTTAAGTATAATATAGTACAGGTGGATTGTAATTTGAAGAAAGTTAAAAAAAGAAATTTATTATGTATACTTTTGAAAGATTTTTGATTTGATTGCAGTGTTAATATTTTCTTAGTTATACAAATTAAATCTCGAATATTCCATTCAAATTTTATAATCAAGTTTCATTTATTTGTTTGAATCATTGTTTCAGATAATTAAAGGACGATACGTATGAGTATTGAATGTAAGAATTTAAAAATATTAAATGGAAAGTTGTTACTCGACTATAATTCTAAGATAATAGAATTCCATGAACCTCAAGTTATATGAACCTGTCGAGATAAGTGTCAATAGTGAGGAACAATAATTTAGGATCGTTAAGTGATTTGATTCTAATAAAACAGTGGATATACATTGGTCACGAGGTTTGTAACGAGATATTAAGCTATTTAATTCTAACGAACTTCAATTTATTCAATTTATATATGTTTAACCTCTTATTGAAATTACATTGAAAATCTATTACCTACTTGAAATACAAACGATGAATTAAAGGTATTGACGCGAAGTGGTTGGTAAAAGCTTCCGGTTGAACTGTAACTTTCTTCAACAATCCAATTCAATCCCTAATTTAAAAAGAAATTAAATATAATAATCAATTTTATAATACTTACATTAACATATATACCTACTCAACGTTTCCTCATTTCTACGTTTCACTTTAATAATAAAATCGGAAAATATTCTCAAAACCACTTCCAATTCTTTCCAATTCTATTACATCAATTTTAATTTCACAATTAATATTTTGCAATTACGTAGCGTTATCTCCAACGATATTATTATTACAGATCCAAGATTAACTCACAAAGAAAATAATCGTTGAATATTTTATCACGAAAAATACGAAGTGATGGAAAAGAATCGACTATAAAGCTACGAGTAAAAAGTTACATTCGATTACAATACGCAAAGCGAGTTTTAACTTTACACGAAAATTTTAACCCAATCATCTTTTCAACGGGTGTTGGTTCAAAATTTCGCAGCCTCATTGTTTGACCATTCACTCCCGGTGACTTTTCGCAATTCGTTGAAAACGGCCGGTCATACCAGGATACAAGGCGCGTCAATATGGCACACGCGGTAATTAAGACCTTATCCCCCCCCTCCCTCGACAGTCATTCCACAATGCATCACAATGTTTTCTCGCACAATACATCCACTTCAACGAACCGATGCGTAAATCAAATTCCTCCTCGTGCCTTCCTTCGTCGAAATCCAACCGTTCTCTCTCTCTCTATCTCCCTCTCTCTTTATCCTCGTCCTTGTTCCTCCATCCTTACGAGGATGGAGGAGGCCCTTTTGAAAACAGCCCAACCAACCACCACCGCCATCAGCCCAACATCAGCATCGGCACCATCTCTCGCAAGGTGGCTCGCCTTAGGTGATACATGACGTTTCTCACGGTGATAATTATCACCGTTTGCGCCCGGTCCAGAGACAGTGAGTCTGCTTTTGTATGAATACGCGTCATTAAGAAATTGTAATGGGAATTGTGAGTGGGCGGATGATTTCTTTCTTCTTCTTCTTCTTCTTTTTTTTTTTTTTTTTTTTAAT